CCCGTAGACTTAGCCACAACGGCAGAGCTGCACTCGGAACACAACTGGGTGACTTTCTACCTTCCTCGCAGAAGCCGAGAATTAAAAAATGATAGTATTATTAACAAATTGCTTCAAAGAATGCCAAAAATTTGTTTTGTATGGCTTTTGATGCCGGGTAGTTCTATGGACAAAAATATTTATTTGTGTAACGATTTTTTTTTGACAATGAAACTTTTATAATACATTCTTACAACATATATAGTTAGGGTCTTTTTTTATCTTTTCTCTCTGTGTATTATCAGGACCGGCCTTGTGTATAACTGAAATAAAAGTAATGGATAAAAATGTAGTTTCATACTTTAGTAAATATAGTAGTAATTTTAATGACCATGATGAAGTTCCGATTGACATTATGGTGACTATATGACATATACTTCTAGTAACTTAAAGATGTTTATATCCATAACTTTTATTTAACTGAGTAATATTTAAGGAAAAACAGTGCAACAAAAAGACCTTTTTATATACATACGGAGTACTTAATTATATTTACGAGGTAATGTTACATGCTCACATTGCCATGGCTTGTGTGGAACATACTTCCATCAATTTTGAAATTCGATTACTTGAATAAATTACTCATTCGAGCAAAATTAGTTGCGATAACATATTTTAACACTTGAGTGCGATCTTAAATACTTTACCCATCTCAAAATGATGACAATGTCAAACTTTTGAGGCTCAAAAGTTAAAGAAATTGTCATGAAATGACCATTTAAACCTTAATAATTACTACCTCCGTTCCCCTAAGATCGGGACAAAGAAGAGTGGCGCGGTTTTTAAGAAAAGTAAAGTTATGTAGTTGACAATGAATTAATAAAATGATAATAAAGTAAGAATGAATTAGAACCACACAAATATTACCAAATATTGTATAAGACAAATTTAGTGAGATGGACATAAAAGAAAAAATGGGACAATTATAGTGGGATGGAGGGAGTACTTGTTAGATAAATGATTGAGACCGATGAAATCGGTACAGATATATTTCTCGATATAAATGTAAAGAAGGTTAATATATACGGAGTATATATGCGAATTAAAACCAAAAGTAATTACCGAACAACTAACTAAATGTTACTTTTACTTTGGCACATATACGAAGTGTTTGGAAAATGGCGTATCGGACAAAAAATGATGGTTTAACTTCTTTTAGCATTTTCAAATATGTGAAAAATGTTGTTTAGTAAATAGTTGTTCGGCCCTAGCGTTTTTGGACGGAACTGCTGAAATGGAAACGCTGCAAATATGAGAGTTTCAGGTTAGCGTTTTGAAATATGGCGTTTTCTGTTAATGGTTTTGGCCAAATAGATAAATTATCAAATATCTTTTGACAACCTGCCAACTTATTCCGCTAGTCTAACATACTGACTAAATCTGCTACTAACAATCTGCTAAAGTAATCCACTAACCGCTAAATGTGAAAGACGCCCATAAAAACTTAAAAAGCGTAATTATACTTCTATTTTGAGATGGGATGCGTAATTAAATGAGAAAGTTTTATTAAATGGGACTAGACAAAAACATGCACAAATTAAATAGGATTATCATGATTTTCTTTCTAATATATCACGTACTCTTAATTAAGAAAGTTTATATTCCTTCAAAAATAAATTGAGAAAGTTTATATTTTTAATAGGCCGAATCAAATAATAAGTTTTGTTTTAAGAATAAAATATAATTTCTCATATTTATATAAATTATAAATTATATGGTCGCCATAGTGTTAAGATAACTTGTCATATGAAGTTCATTGTGTATTTTTATGGTACTATTATCCATAAAAGTACATTTATGAAAGAAACAACATATGTTCATGGTATTAGTAAAAGTTGAGAGGGTATATATACTACATACTCATGTTTGAAGTACTTACCTCAAACCTCTCTAAATTTTGGAGTATTTAGAATAGTTTCTCATCTCTATTATGAGGGTGTTTGGAATTGATTCTGTTTTTGTTTTTTTAACCAGAAGCAGAATCGGTTTTTCAGAAGTAGCTAGTTGGTGTCCTCAGCTCCTAAAAAATTATTTATAGGGGTAATTTAGAGCATTCAGAAGTACTTCTGTACTTTCACCATAACACTTCAATATGTGGTTCTATTCACTGAATGAAGGAGATCCAGACACCCCTTATGTACAAAAATAATTCCTGGAAAAGTTATGGATAAAAATTGGATTTAATAACTTTTAATGCTTATAATTGTATTCAAAATTTACATCACATAGTCACGTTTTTACCCATGATTTTTTAGTAATATTTTAGTAAAAAAATCAAAATTATTTCATTACATATACATATGTGCCAGCGCCAATCAAATGTATACAAATGTAATTACTCCAGGACTATAATTAATGCGTACAGAGTACGTAGTAGTGTTTCTATGTTGCTATAATGACATCTGTAGGCCGGTGTGGAAAGAGTCAGGTTTTAGTTTTGAGAGTAAAAGTGTAAAACTATATTTCCATATGTGAATCATGTATGACATCATATACATATAATTAAAAATATATAGTTGAAATATACTACTATGGCTCCAAGCAAGGCTTTTTATTGGGCTTTTCCTCACATTCCTCTCTTTTGCGAAATTGCTCGGGCCGGCCCCCGCATGTCGGCGTAGAGCAACGAAATGCGGGGATTAGATTGAGAATGTGGTCTTTAACCCCCTTATGAAGCAAAGATGTTGGGATTTGACTTTTGTAGACATAGCAGGATTTACGTATCGGCTATGGTAGAGTGAGGTGAGGATTTACGTATCGACTATGGTGGACTAAAGAACATGATAATTTAATTTTTTTCGATTTCTATAGAATAAATTTTCCATATTTAACACAGTCCACTCGATAATGTTTAAGTCTACAGTATAATTGTTCTTTCGCCCAGGGCATCCCAGATTTCTGGATCTGCCCATGTTCGTACATCTCGCTTTCATAATCTATCGATAAGGGACAATGGTTAAGAATTTCTTTGTTTTAAAAATGCTATCATGAAAAGATCTCGATTGTAGTGATATTTGTGAAACCACTACCATCTCAAGTTGTGTCACCATTTCTTAAAGTTGACATAAATCATATACATGGTTTGCCTAGTAATTAAGGACAATGTTAATCAAGTTTGTAGGTGAAAACAAGATATATCTAAGGGGCATATGTAATTTAATGGAAAAATTGGGAAAATCTTAAACCATCTTATAAAATGGTGGTGATGTTATTGTTGGTAGAAAATATATCGAGTAGACAAACTAGCAGCAAATTAGTATAGCGAAAATAGCTTCCCCAAATACAAGGGGTTGGTAGGCTATTTATAGGCGTATACAACATGCCCACCAATGAAGTACTGTATGGGCCAACCAGCCTCATAAGTAATTAAATAATCCCTAGCCAATATATGCTAGTCGGACTGGGTTCTAAGCTTGGTCGGGCCAAAGCTCGGGTGTAACAGGCTGATGGTCTTGGACTCGACCCATTATCCCAACACGAGTCCCTCACTCCCTTAGTCGAGTAGTAAACTTGGCTAAAAGGGAGTAGTTCAGGTCGGTTTTGTGTAAAAACCGACGTGGTAGATTTATTTTTCTCCGAAAAAATAAACATTTTACGTTGGTTTTAGAACTGATGTAAAATGTTTATACCTATAACGTCTCTCACGTACACGTCACATACAAAACCGACGTGAAAAAGTCAAACTTACCGACGTGAAAAGCCTATTCTCTAGTAGTGTCGACCCTTAAAATAAAGCAAAGGAAGGCTAGTCCCCTCGATTCTTCATCAAGTGTCTGTTTTACTGATAAGTCGAGATATGTTCCGGAAAGGCCAATCGCACGGCTGTTTGCCAGTGGTGGCAGTCGAACCAAGGTATGCTCGGGAGAGACCACCAGCATAAATGTTTGCTGATGATGCAGAGTCGAGGTATGCTCATGAGAGGCCGGTTGCACAGCTGTCTATTGATGATGTCGAGCCGAGGTGTGCTCGGGAGAAGCCAGCAGCTCAGTTGTTCGTTGGTGATGATCATGCAAGGTATGCTCTGAAAGGGCCGATTGCACAATTGTCCACATTCATCCCAATTGCTTGTGAAAGGATTTGGTTTCCTTCGTCTGGGTAGCAGTCCGGATCCTGTTTGTTCTTTTACTAACCTGATTTCTTGTTCGTCCGATTAGCAGCCCGGGGTCTTGTTTGTCCGATTAGTAGCTCGGGGTCTTGTTTATCCGACTAGCAGCCTGATGTCTTATTTGTCCGACTAGCAGCTCGGAGTCTTGTTTGTCCCACTAGCAGCCCGAGGTCATGTTTGTCCGACTAGCAGCCCGGGGTCTTGTTTGTCCCACTAGCAGCCTGGAGTCTTGTTTGTCCGATTAGCAGCTCAGGGTCTTGTTTGTCTGACTAGCAGCTCGGGGTCTTGTTTGTCCTAACAGCAGCCCGAGGTCTTCCTCAAAATGAAGCAAAAAGGTGAGCCCTCTGGCCAATGCGTACAGCTGCAACGGTCACCATTTGCTGAGTAGGTGGCAAAGTTCGGTATTTACTTTGAGCACTGATCGTCTTACATTTCGGAGAGGATGCAGTGAGTATCCCACCATGATATGTAGTCACTACAATGTAGGACGCTATATTTCGGGTTGTTAAGCCTAGCAACGTCAGACAACGGATGTAACGACGAACCCACACCACTAACCATATCAAATGAGTATGCGGGTTGTTAAGCCTAACAACGTCAGACAACGGATGTACGAGAGGGGCTCAGAGCACAATATCTCGCATACCTTCGGCCCGAAGACTGATCATATAGTCGCCTGCACCGTTGATTAGGTCAAACGAGTATGCAAGCTATTTAGACAGCAACGTCGGGCAACGGATGTACGAGAGCGGCTCGGAGCACGACCTCTCGCATACCTTTTCGACCCGGAGGCCAATCTTACGGTCGCCCTGAACGAGCAGTTGATCCTAGACTTAGAAAATAGTTTGATCATTTCCTTGCCCAAGGATTGAGCCGTGGTCGACTAAACACCGAGAGCGGGGCGTCATAGTATTTTTTTTTCTTTTCTTTTTTATCTTCTTTTTGGCCATTGTCCGTTCATTTCTAAGTGAGGTCAGACCTCATTAAATTCCAGATTGGAAAATGAATTTTTTTAAGTAATGAAAGAATTTGAGAACTTGAGAAGTTGCTCCGAAATCTACACTTGATCTACAATTTGTGATGATCCGATCATAGAATGTGAAAGGGTGTATCTGCGCTCCCCACTTGATCTACCAGCTTGTGATGCTCCGCTCTTAGGATTTGACAAGGTGCCTTGTGCTCCGCACTTGATCTACAAGCGTGCAGTGATCCGCTCATAGAATTCGACAAGGTGCCCTGCGCTCCGCACTTGATCTACAAGCTTGTAGTGTTCAGCTCATAGAATTTGACAAAGTGTTTTGCGTTCCGCACTTGATCTACAAACTTGGAGTGTTTCGCTCATGGAATTTGATAAGGTGCCTTGCGCAACGCATTTGATCTACCAGCTTGCAATGTTTCGCTCATAGAATTTGACGAAGTGTCCTGCTCTACACCAGACCAATAAGTTTCCCCGTCATGGTCTTGAAGTAATATTGATCTTGATCTCTCCGCCTTGGTCTCTCGAGGTCAACCTTTATTTCTTCGACTTCAGAGGTGAGTTCAGCGCAGAGTTGACCCTCCTCGTACCTTTTAGTTTTGATGTTGACAATATTGACCTTGAGGTCCTCCGCCCAAGCTTGCATGCCTTCATAAAATGGCTTATCGTTGCAAAGTTTGTAACCCTTTAACAATAGTGCTTCATCATGATACGAGTGAATGGTTCTGGGATGTGGAGGTCGGCCACATATGGCTCTCCCCCAACAACCCTTCTCCTCAGCTCGTCCAACTTTAGCCTCAAATCTTCCATCGCATCAAGTGTCGATTTTGCTCGTGTGTGTACAGCGCGGAGTTGAACTTGCACAGAAGACTCTACAACCCTCTCGAGTATGTGAGGTTGAGATCCAACATGGCGTTCGTCTGGGGAGGTTGCCCGCCTACTCGGTCGATGGGAGTGACGTGATGAATCATCCCCTCCTTCCCGAGACGAGTGTTGCCGGGAGGGCCTCTTTCCTGGTTGTCGTGGTTGCTGAACTTGACGAGACACATACTCCCTTCGGGATACGTCTGTGTTGGCACGTCTCCCTTCGTACCGTTCGGATGATGCTTCCAAGTCTCTAGGGGTGTTATGACTCGAACGCACGTGCTCCGCCTCCTGCAACATTGGCCTCCGGAATCCCTGAACCAAATCCTCAATAGGTCGAGTGGCCTCCTGGAGTGCCTGCACCCCAACATCAAGCGGTGTCGGGTTCCTGTGCGTAGCATGATCTGGTTCACCTCAGAGGCGATCACAGGCAGATGGCCTGTTACGACTGTAGTCCAGTGTACCCCTCAAGTATCTAGGATTCGACTGTTGAGTTTGGAGATCTCCCTTCGGCATCACCGACTGGCTCCTTACACGATGGTCATTGGGCGGTCTAGAGTGCTTGGTGTGGATGGAAAGCTGCTCATGACGTGATGTTCCTGCCATTTCCCTCTTCAATCTGTCATGCTCTAGGCGTACGGGCACGGGGCACCAAGCAAACGCGCGTCTGGGTGTTAGCCCGGAGCATGCACGACCTCGCATATTGCTCCGCAAGCACGACGAATTGGCATGGATAATCGTCCTGCAATTTCAGAAAATTTAATAGAAATTTCAAATTTATATTTTTAATGTTTGATATGTTGTCGTTGATGAACGCCCTGGTCTGAATGGAGTGCTTGGTCAGGGGAGACCGAACTAGAACGCAGCTACATGAACTTGGTCACTTGGAGGCCTGGCGAAGCTAATTTTGTATTTCGCCACACGATCCGCCCACACCTTTTTAATTAGGTCTAAGTTAGAGTATTGATTTGATTCAGCTGTGGAATTTTGACTAGGTCAAAATTAAACTTGCTGGTCAAAGAGAAGTCCCTGTCAGAGGAAAGTTGGAGTCCCAGAAAAGAAGGAATCGTCTCCGGCTAAAGCTTCGCCGGATCTTCCAGAAGAGAGGGAACCGTCTGGACTTGAGCCGTCAGCGCTGCGACAAAGGTGGAGAATCGACCTACGATCTGCGGTGCTGCGACGGAGAATGAGCCCTCGCTGCTGCGTGGCCGCAGCAAAGCGGCTGGATCCTTATCGGGGAGTCCTCGGTTCGTGCGGCTGATGGCGGACCTTTGTGCAGCGGTGGCGGAGTGATACTTTGTAATTTAGGTGTGAATGTTTATGTTTTTAGTTAGTTTTGTTGTTTGATATTTTGGAAATTACACTTTTAGAAATTACTCCAAATAAGACTAAAATTATGACAAAAATTCAAAATAGAACTTACTATGTTTTTCTTTTCAAAATAGGATCAAATTAGTCCTATTGGAAACATACATATTTTTTCCTTCCATTCTTACCCTCCTTTAAATATGAGTTAATTAAATGTTTAATTCATAATAAATTCGAAAAAAATTCAAAAATTCGTAGAAAAATAATTAAAAAATTTATAAAATATTTATAAAATAAAAAATTAAAACAAATATATTTTTTAAATTTTTTATTTTTTAAAAAATTAATAAAAAATAGTAAAACTCCATTAAAAAAATTAAAAAATATATGGATGCCTTTCCCACCGCCTGTACTACCTCCCTGCACCACCATCTTCAGACGGTGAAAAAAATGTCATTTTTCCTGAAAATGTCAAAAACATGGCATATTTCTCTTTGAGAATGCCAACATTTTCATTATTTTCTGCCATAAATATGGCATTCATAATGAACTTGGCATTTTTTTTCCAGTGACTGGAGGTGGTGGTGCAGAGGCGGCAGAGGCGGCGGTGAATTTTATTTTATTTTTTTGAGTTTTTTATCTTTTTTAAAAAAATAATTTTTTTTATTTTTTGAAAAAAAAATTAATTAATTATTATTATCGAAATATTTTTATTAGTCTGTTAGTATTTTTACGAATTTTTATTATTTTTTATTATTTTATTATGAATTAAAACATTTCAATAGCTAGAAGGGTATATTTGTCCAAGACACACATAATTAGTCCTATGAAAACGTAGTTTAGTTTTTGGTCCTATTTGTGCAAAGTGAGTGACTTTTAGTCCTATTTTGATAATTAACCTTACACTTTTGGTGCAATACTTTAGTTTGTTAAATTATTTGTAATTTATTTAGATTAAGATTATTCTGAATTTAGGACAGGTCAAAATCATCCAAGAATCAAAGGATTGATCCTAAAGACCAAAGAATGTGCAAAAGAGAGAAGATCAAATGAAGATTTTGAAATTCGTTCATGTACTCGATCGAGTATTGCCAATACTCGGTCGAGTATTAACCGGATACGCTGGTCAAAATCAAATCTGGGAGCAAAAGAACGTGGCTGAATATTTGATGAAAATCTTATCTCATACTCGATCGAGTATTGGCAATACTCGACCGAGTATGTCTATATTTCGCAGCTTCCTGGAAACTACCTCTTGTACTAGGTCGAGTATCCAATATACTCGATCGAGTACAGCACCCTGCCACCTCTATTTTGCTATAAATACACTCTTTTCCCTTCACATTAAAAACATCAATTCACATATACTCTTAAACTCAGTTTAGAATAGCATTTATTTATATTTTTCTAGCATGTTTAGTCTCCAAATGAGGAGATAAATTTTCATTTCTTGGTTTTGCTCTTGAAGCTTGTTGATTATTAAAGTTGTGAGTTATTTTCTTAACTTTTCTCCCTGAATATTAATTCTTCCCTTAATCTATTTCTATATTAATGTTGGGGAGTGTTGCTAAGATGAAAATTAGTCAACATCTTGACATTAATTATTACTAGAAACGATCAACGAACCGATGGTTAATCGTTGATGGTTTCACAAGTAAGTAACTTCGGTTTATTAATGCATGATCGTGGTTAATAAACTTAAGATGAATTAATTTTGTTGGTCAAACTAAAACCGTTGTGTTGAGGTTATCAATCTTAATTGATTTCATCAAGAAGTTAGAAAGATTAAATGCTACTATTAAATTGGTATAAGGCGTTGTTCTATATTTGATTAATAGTAAATGTTATTAATGAACGGTCGTTGTTAATAACTACCCTCGATGAATTGGATATACTCCTCGATTGAGTATTCGAGAGGGGATCAGTTATAGACATAACAAGGATCGATTAAATATATCAACAAGTGGAAAGTAGCAAAGTCAAGTTCTTTTTATCTTTGAATTAAATCACATATAAGTTGTTCATCTTAGTTTTTAATTAAATTAAATCATTTAACCCCAAAACCTCCCTTTAATTAGTAGTTCATAAAAAGAGAATTATTCCTTTCCCTGTGGATACGAACTCTACTACATTATACTACGTATATGTGTTAAGTATTGAATTTATTTTGACGCACTACGATAAAGACATAAAGTGCTCGTCACGGAGCTATGGATGCGTGCCACGGTGGAGGTGGCGGAGCTGGTACGTACGTAGAGCTCGCATTCGCCGTTGGGCTGCTCCCTGGTCTAGCATGGTGGTGCTTGGCTGCCGTAAGTTGTTCTCTTGTGCGGTCCATACTTTTCAGACCTCCGAAACAGATCTACAAAATTTAAGATCTAAAATTCCGACCAATAGCTATTGACCCCGCTCATTATCCGAACAATTATAAAACTCTTGACTTGAAGTTTGAAATGAGATGGATAACATCACTCAAGTATCAATGTCAGCTAGAATGGAACATATTTTTGTAGCATATTTTCAATGTCAACTCAAGAATCCATTGATTGACTTGGGTTCTGAGCTTGGTCGGGCCAAAGTTCAGGTGTAACAGGCCGATCGTCTTGGACCCGATCCATTATCCATACTTTTCAATGGATAGCATCACGTACAATCATATTATTACAAATTAACTTGTTACACAATAAATGCTACAACTACTAAAAAGTTTACATAGATGACACAACAATGAAGTCCAACCATAAGTTAGGGTTTGAAACTTGAAACTTGAAAGGCATCATTAATGCAAGATTGCAAGTTACCGCATTATTTGTTAGTCTATAGACCAGGGGAAAACAAGAGTATATGAAATGGGTAGAGACCATTGTTTTATATATTCCTGGTGGGAATGAGAGCTTAGTTAGGGCATTGGCTGAGGACGTTCCAGTAATTTAATTATGAATGTACGATAGAGAGCATTACTGCATTAGCCATTAGCTATGGTGCAGACAGCAGACGGGGTTCTGGTCGACTGGTCTACGCAGGTATTGATGGACTCGGGTCGGGTGGCCCGACCCGGGACCGGTCCGGGACCGGTACTGTTCCGGCCCGGCCCGACCCGGTGGCCCGGTCAGTGACCGGTCTGGGTAGGCCCGACCTGTGGGTTTTCCGGTCCGGGCTCGGGTCACCCAAAACAAGGCCCGGCCCAGCCGAGCCCGAGCCCGGTTCAGGCCAAAACTATTTTTTTTTCAATTTTTTTTCAATTTTCAGGTTGGGTTGGGTATTTTGGGCCATTTGGGGTGGTTTGGGGGGTTGGGGGTGGGAGAGGGGTTAATTAGGAAGAGGAAAAAAATTGATAATGGCCCCGGCCCGGACCCGGACCGGACCCGATGGTTACCCGGCCCGGACCCGGGTCCACCACTTCTGAACCGCCGGCCTGCCCGGGTCTAGGCCAGACCCGGCCCGGACCCGAGTCCATCCCTATACGCAGGCAATCAAGAATATCGTGCAGACATGGTTCTTTGTATCGTCCCTTTAGGGGTCCTAAATAGGGATGGACCAAACAGGGTCGGCCCGGCCCGCCACTGTGCGGGCCCGGCCCGGCCCAGTTACGGAATGGGCGGTGCGGGCTTTTACCCGGCCCGGGGGAGGCTAGCGGTTCGGGCACGGTTCACAAAAAGGAAGGCCCGGCCCGGCCGGTTCGGGCCAACGGCTATATTTTTTTAAAAAAAAACTTTTGGCTACCAAACAGGCCCTTAGAGCCGTTGTGATTGAACCCAAACGGCTATATAGCCGTTGGGAGCCTTCCTGGGGTCCAGGGGTGGGTTAGGGGGGTGGGGTGGGGGTGAGGGGGTAGGGGTACAAAAAAACTATAAATACTCCATTTTTTCTATACAATTTACTACACATCTTCTCCAAATATTCCTACTCTAATCTCTATTCTCTACTAATTTATTATTTATATATCTACTTTATACTTAAGATAGAAAATCAAGATGCCGTTATACGGTATAATTTTGATAAGCAGAAGGACCCAAAGACCGGGATGTGGTACACAACTTGTAAATGGTGCGGGAAAAAATGTAGCATGAGGATTTCAGGCGGATACGGGATGGCAATGAAGCATATGAAGTCATGTGACAAAGCCAAAAGATCGGGAGGTGCGGGAAGTTCCGATTGATTACAATTTACAAAATGTTTCTCTTGAAGTTTATTTCAAATGTAGTTCCTATTTCATTTCAAATAAATGCACTTGAAGTTTATTTTTAATACTTGTATAAAACTATAAACTATAAAATACAAATTATAAAAAAAAAATCTTTAACCGGCCCGGCCCGACCCGGCGGGTGGCCCGACCCGTGACCCGGGCGGGTGGCCCGGCCCGAACCAGACCCATCCAACCCTCGGGCCGGTCCCGGGCCATTGTCATACAAACCGGCAGCCCGACCGGGCCTAGGCCCGGCCCGAGTCCACCAATAGTCCTAAAGAAATGCACCAGAGTTCTTCTATGGTATAAAAGGATCATTGAATTAATTAAACAGAAGGATCACATTTTTGGAAAAAATGAAAAGTAGTCAATCTTATGTATATTTGTATCTTTATTTCCATAGGCAAAGTCTATCTAACCAGACTTATCCAGTTAGCTAAACCAGTTTGACTCCTATAAACATTAACGTAGAGCAAGTGTACAGATAGATAGTCAGATATGTCCGTGAACAACTCAACAACATGAAGTAATATACAGAGGAGATTTACCAAAAAACGAACAAAATACTTCTTATTACACTTCTACATCAGAAATTTCCAAATAATTAATGATAACGGATTTAAAACGAACAAAGTACTGATGAAGAAAATAAATGACTAGTACAGAGATTAGACGAAAACCAAAACTGTGGAAAGCTCCACTAAAAAATTGGGGCGACAAAACCTATAACCACTTTTCTGTGAGCGCTAATTTATTCACAGTGCTCCTTCTACTGCTGCGCAAGCAAGGCTCCTTTTAAATTTATTCACAGTGCTCCTTTTACTGCTGCGCAAGCAAGGCTCTGTTGTTGCCTAGCTATATATTTTTATTCCAAGCAGACATAAAAAGTTGCCAATGTGATTGATCTATGTGGTCGGGTTTAGTGCGGGATAGATATATAAATTATGTGCATTAATCTCGAGCTTTTTTAAAAATGCATCAAACACCCTTGGGTTACAATTAATCATGCAATAATACCCTACCATTAAATTTGTTATTCCAAGGTATTAGATGCATGATTAATCGTAACAGATAGAGCTCCAATGCATTTTCAAATTACACGAGGCCAATGTGTTGAATTAATATATCACGAGGGGTTCGCAAATTAAACCCCCCTCTCATGTGGTATCATCAAACTTCTCCCAAACTTTCCGCAACTGCTTCCTTGTCTTGTCCTTGTATCCATCATCTGCCATTGAGTTTTTTTGCAGTCAGTATATTAACTTTGGCACCAAAAACAGCACAATAGTAAATTAGTAATTCACAATACTCCCTCCGTATTTTAAAGTTTTATACACTTTGATCTTTTGGTAAGTTTTCCCTTTAAAAATACTCGATTACCCTTTTTTTACTTTTTATCTTCTCTTTCATACTTTTATAATCTCTCTTACTTTTTCTACACTATTCATTACCCCTACTACGTTCCTCCTTAAATAATGTGCCAAAACAATATGTAGCAATCTTCAAAATACAGAGGGAGTAGTACTCTATTATTTCAGATGGTGCAGACTACAGACTATAACTAAGTAGGATCAAAACAAACACCCCCAAAAAATGACAAAGATATGACTAAAATGAAGGAGTGGACAAAAATATAAATCTTATACTTTAGTAACTAAAATAGTAACTTTAGTGGCCCTGACAAAACTCACTTCTAAACTATAGTATTGTGACGGTATATTAAAAGTAACTTTAGACACATTTTTGTTCGTAAAATTGTTTTCAGTAGAATTTAAGAAAAAACCTAGAAAAAGAAGTCATATTTCAAGAGTCCTAGAAAGCCCAACTGTAAATGGTTTTAGTCAATTGCTCCAAGCAATCTTGGAAATAAGATTTAGAAGTATATATCAGTGACTATTTAATACGAGTAAAGTTTGTGCCATAAGTTGTCTAAAAGTAAAATATTTTACCATACTCACACGTGACCTTTTTGGGGGGAGAGTATATTTCTTTGAGGAATCCATGCATATGTTTACTTCAGCTATGAAGCTAAGCATGCATTCCTAAAATAGTTTCACATTTAGTCTTCTAAGCATTGGTGACAATTCCAAGTCCGCGTTTTTTTATGAAGACACATTTGATGGCCAGGTATAATTTTGGCCCATTGTGTGATTAACTATAGTGGCATTGCTTATCATCATACCACTTTGATTGAGGGACTAAACTGAAATTGTCCTCAATATAGATCGATATCTGGAGTACAGGACCATTTTCCATCATTTGCAATGGAGCCAAAGTTTCACTATTTTTTGGCTTGAGAATATGATGGAATAAATCAAAATGGCTCACTAAACTGGATGCACTTCTTTGTTATGAAGCAGCAGTCGGTATATGCAATTTTGGACGCGATTTTCACCATTGGTCTTGGTCATCCGGAAACAGTCTCTCTGTGATTTAGTACAGGTGTAAGACTGCTTACATCCGACCCCCTTACCCTACCGTAGGTGAGAGCCTTTGTGGCACTGGGGTAATGATAATGATGATGATCTAAAGTACAGGACCAAATCACTAAATGTGTCTTGTTTGAAGGATTGGTACTCAGAAAATAGAAATGCCACTCCAATCTTTTCAACAGTACTAACTAGAACTTATGATTGAAATGAGGAGCATAAATACTATTTTCCACCTTTCTCCCTTAAATATGGTCATCAGTAAAATGATACTACCTCCGTCCCACTACGATTGGGACATGAGAAGGTGGTGCAATTGTTAAGAAAAATGGATTTGTGTGATCCGTATTTGATAGAGACATGGACAAGGGGACCGGAAGCAATGGAAATAACAAGCCCAATACTATGCAATACTTTGATAAAGTGTACAAAAGAAATCAGTGACTTTTGACACACCTTGTCAGCCACTTCCCAAATGTCTATCTAAAGAGTGGAAATTGCAGACTACTCCTGAGAAAGTTCTGGCAACCAGGGTGAGACATATAGGAGAATCTGAGCTGCTGGTGCATTGGAAACAGCTACCAGACTTTGAAGACTCTTGAGAACCTATGCAAAAGTTTAAGCAGCAGTTTCCAGCAGTCCACCTTGAGGACAAGGTGGAAGTCCAGGAGGGGAGTAATGATAAAGACATGGACAAGGGGACCGGAAGCAATGAAAATAATAAGACCAGTAATATGCAATACTTTGATAAAGTGTACAAAAGAAGGAAGGGAGGGGGGGGGGGTGTAACTGACTAGCCTAATGGGCATATGGGAAGGGGGCTTATTAATAGAAAGGGAGACTGGTGTGAGAAGGCAGACATATATTCTGTTAGTACGCTGGGAGAGGGATAGTACATTTTACATTTTCTGCCATTATTGTAGCTTCCGGAGTTCTGTTTTCTATCAGGATTCTTATCTAATCTACCATTGATTTTTTTATGCTTTTGTTGAGTCTCTAACAGTATTGAACTGGTAAAGTAGAAATAAAGTAAAAATGAATAAAAGCACACAAATATTACCAAATATAGATAGTATGAGACAGATTTAGTTGGACGGACAAAAAAGAAAAGTTGGGACAAAGATGGTGCGATGGAGGGAGTATTACATATCCTATATTTGTATTGGTTCTATTAGAAAATTAAGCCACTTATTAAGCAACAAAATTGAGTGACACAATGGGGACTCATTTGCCATGAAACTAACAATTTCAGCTCTCATCAGAAGTTTGTATCAAATAAGTTTAATTCCGTGAAGAAACCACTACACTCATAACACATTAAACTAAGGAACTAAACTAGTCAACACAGAAACTTGAGCATGTTACCTGTCCCTGAAAATATTGAAGTGCTTACTTCTTTTTACCGAATGCACTTGAGTAAGTATGGCTCTCTAAACTGCTAGTGAAAAGAAAAATGGTAAGGAAAGTTGTTTTCTTATCTTTGGCTTTACGTTGAAAAATGAAATATGATTAGTATTTTAATCTATTTTTACTTAGATATAAATGTAACATGTTCATCATGAGTCATTCGGGAACAGTTTCTCTGTGCTTTAGCACAAGGGTAAGGTTGCGTACATCCTACCCCCCTTACCCCACCGTGGGTGGGAGCCTTTGCGGCACTGGGGTAATGTTGTTGTTGTATTACTGTATAGAACTATAGATGTAACCTGTTAGGTTTATATAACTGTCACAAACAATTAAAATGAGTTTACACTCTATAATAAATTTATTAAGCACATACATATCTTTTATTGTCCCCCACATTTTTTCTTCCAGTTTAACTTCCATATATATCTAATACTTTCCTTCCAAACAGGCCCTTAATGCTTTGAGCTTAATATTTAATTAACTGCCACCAGGGACAGACAGTACATCAAACTTAAAAAGTCAACCTTACATACTGTATGGCCAGTTAGCCACCACCTGGTAAACTTTATGGTTAGCAATCGAATTGAAACACTGACAAGATATGCTTAATGGGACAATACACAATTCATTCCAGAACTTAATAACAATCCCAAAGAGGAAAATCCTAACTAGGGCTGGCATTTTGAACCGAAAAACCGAAAACCGAACCGAAAATAACCGAACCGCATTGGAAAAAAACCGAACTGGACCGAACCAATAATTTTTGGGACCTGAAAATTGGGACCCGAAAATAAACGGTTCGAAATCGGTTTGCACCCTCAAAATATTGGTTTGAAGCGAACCGAACCAATTTTTTAATTAATAATAATAATTGTTTTATCATAGTTATTTCATTTACTAAATATACAATACCGTCGGGAGAGGATATTGGACATATCGAATGCCTTGGTTCGCTGGTCGTGCAGTGTGTTAACCATCCATGTGGTCGAGGGTTCGAATCCCGCAGGTTACAATTCTGTTTAACTTTATGCTTTAAGCTTTTTTTCTCCTGTAGGTTTTTCATCCCACACCGGAAATAGAAGGAATTTTGATAGGATCCCAGGCTGAAGAAAAATACTGATAATAGTAATAGAGTGATATTAAACAATGGTGGTAGAGTAAAAAATAAGGGTTCTGGGCCATGTATATGGGCTTGGGCTGGCCTTTTAGAATAAAATTAGTATAAGAGTGAGAGGGAGGAGTGGGGGAGGTTAGGCAGAAATTGGATCTGGAATTAGGCCTTGGGAGTGTGAGACGACTCGAACTGTCTCAAACCTTTCTTCTCTTCTATTTTCTGTTTTACGATACTGTACGTGGGTTTACTGTTATGCGCCATTGTACTTGGAGGATCGGTTCCTCAGATTTTATCAATTGAACACTAAATTTCTGCTGCTTTGTTGAGTTACCTATCATTGGTATCAGAGCAGTTGCTCCTGGGGATCGGAAATTGAATCTCGATTGCAATCTAGTTTGCGTTACAGAGGTGGATGGTCAGAACGAGATAAAAAAAATGGAATACCGTGTTCATACGTCGGAACGGGAGAGGACGGAAATGGCAAACATCGCAGCTTCTCTGGCAGCGATGAACGAACAGATTCAGAGCCACTTCGCGACTTATATGGCCGTATTGAATGAACAGATTCAGAGATTTTCTTCTTCACAATCGAGATTTTCTTCTTCGAAATCGCGAACTTCTTCGCAATCACAATCTACCAGTTCGCAGGTCTCAGTTCTCAGGGCTCAAGGCGCGACTTCTCTCAGTTCGCAGTTCTCATCGCAGGTTTTGTTGCAAAACACTTTTCACTGTGCGCAGGTTTCATCACTCCCACAGGAGTTTGTTAGTGGACGGCAACCTTACTCTACAGATAGGAGTATGTCGCGATCCAGAGAAAATGGAGAGAAGTTCACTGAGGGCAAAGATGAAAGCTAGAAGAAATCGCCAGCAGAGTCTCTCACTTCACGAGCTTCACAGCTCAGTTTGAAAGTCATTAATCTGCAGCAACCTTCCTCTGACGCCAAGAGTGCTTCGCAATGTGGAGAAAAAGCAGAGAAGTTCATTGAGGGCGACTATGAAAAACGAGGAGAAATTGTCAGTGGTCCTGTTAATCTTGGATGCGCAGATTATCTATGTTCTATGGGACTCTTCAACTTGGTTGAGGGTAGAGTTCAACCGGTAACTTCTGAATATGGTAATAATCCAAATGCTTCATATGATCAAAATCTTCCTCACAATGTTGAGATTGGGCTACAGCCAGGCACTGGGGTTTCAAGAGTGCGGAATATGAGACTGTTTGGAGTTACTGTCAAACCTAGATCAACAGGTGAACTGTCAAATGGAGTTGAAGTTTTTGTTAACTCAGTATATTCTGATGAGCAAATTAATGAGGATGAGAATGCTGAAGTTCAGGGCATGAAAACAAATTCTGCCACTGGTGAGGTACTTGAGACAGTAAGGGACATCAAGAAGGATGAAGAGGTAACAATTTATCACAACTATGTTCCTGTTTTTGGTGCTGGTGCAAATAAAGGTGTAGGCCGTACATCACAGGAAAGCAAACAAACATTTGTTGCTATTGAAGGCTGGAAGGTTACTGAAGTGAATGGAATGTCACTCGATACACCCTCTGCTACCAGGGAAGGAACAGTTCAGGGAGTGAGGAATGCCCATGCCAAAGCATTATCATGGTTTTGGGAGCCTATTGATCAGGGCAAGGCCAAGGCCAAGGGAATTTCTTGAAGAAATACGTGTAAAAGGAGCGGGATTTGGAGTCAGCTTATGATATTAAGGAATACTTTTACACGAAGAGTTATGGGGTGAAGAATGATCATATCCTAGTAAAAGAGAATTTTGAGAAAGATGCTGATAATGATGAGTCTGCTTGGTTCTACAACCTTGGGGCTATTGTATCTGAGGTGAAGAGCTTGGAAAGCATTAATACTAGTGCAGCTACAACAACTCTAAACTCTTCCACTAACTCTTGGAGTGTTGCTATTGGGAACAAATCTGGTCAAGTTCCCTATTACAGGCTTGGCAGCAGCTCTGGCTTGGAGAAAACAAGATTGCATTTGATCACTGAACCCAACACTGAAGTCTCCCTTTTCCCAAGTGGTGCTGGGTATCAATGCACAACTATCTTTTCACTTGTCAGATTCCCAGTATGCATCTGGCAGTGCATGGCATCAGGATCCAAACGGGTTATGGCGTTTGAAAGCCGTCAGGTTGCTCTGCTTGATATTGGTTCACCCTTGGTTTTGTTTCTAATGTACAGTCCCTCTAGCTCAAGATCTCTGGTCTTTTCTTCTAAGGCATTTTTGGGTGTTCATCAAAGCACTGTAATACCAGAAGGTGGAATCCCTTATAGAAGTGAGGAAGAACTCGCTTTGTGCTTAACCAGAGATGGACGCATTATTTTAATGACTAGCAGCATTGGCAGTTTGATCAATTCGCAGCCAGTGCATCCAGAGAAGGATATCGAAAGGAAAGATCAAGCAGCACCATTTGATCATGAGGAACAAAACCATTACAAAAATCCCAACAATCAGTGTGTTCTCCAGGCAAGCAAGCTCATGGTTCTGCCATCAGTTAGATATTGGGAAGGCAGAGGCGCCAGGATGAAGATGAAGTTGAAGATCAAGGCCTTTTCCTATCACCCACCTTGAGGACAAGGTGGTTGTCTAAGGGGGGAGATATGATAGGATCCCAGGCTGAAGAAAAATACTGATAATAGTAATAGAGTGATATTAAACAATGGTGGTAGGGTAAAAAATAAGGGTTTTGGGCCATGTATATGGGCTTGGGCGGGCCTTTTAGAATAAAATTAGTATAAGAGTGAGAGGGAGGAGTGGGGGAGGTTAGGCAGAAATTGGATCTGGAATTAGGCCTTGGGAGTGTGAGACGACTCGAACTGTCTCAAACCTTTCTTCTCTTCTATTTTCTGTTTTACGATACTGTACGTGGGTTTACTGTTATGCGCCATTGTACTTGGAGGATCGGTTCCTCAGATTTTATCAATTGAACACTAAATTTCTGCTGCTTTGTTGAGTTACCTATCAAGTTTACTCCTCAAATACTTCTATATAATAAGGGATGAGCTCAAGCTTGCAATTGTGTCTTAATGGGCCGTGTATTCCGGTCCTAGACTATTAGAGTGGCCTTTATGGTACTCGAAATTCTAATAGCCATATTTTGGGCTTATGGAATTGAATTCTAGTTCAAGCTTAATTTTTTTTATTGATATATAAGCTGTATATGTCGATTTTTTGTCGGTTTTTTATAAACCGACCCGAAAAATTGGTTCCCAATAAATTGGGACCCGTGTTGAACAGTTCGGTCTCGGGTATGATAATTGGAATAACCGAAATTTCGGTTCGGTTCCAAATTTCACTGGATTGGTTCAGGTCCCGAACCGAAACCAGCCCTAATCCTAACAACTTTGTTGCAAAGAGAGAATTTTTGTAAGTGTCCCAAAATACAGATTAATAACATAGACCATACCATTATAGATAACAATTCATGTCCAGTCGGCCTGACAGGAACCGCCGTCCGGCCGAGGCTGTTTCGGGCCATTCCCGGTGGAATATTTTGATGACATTTTTTGAGCATGTTCTTCATCAAGTCTAGTTTATGCCCACCAAATTTCAGCTAAAAATTCAATCGGAAAGACAGTCAAATAATTTTTTGAAAACCACTGCGCAGCTTATACATATTTAACTGTGCAGTTTTCTTAAATAATTTATTTAACTGCCTTCCCCATTAAATTTTTAGCTGAAATTTGGTGGCATAAACTAGACTTGATGAATAACATTCTCAAAACAATTCATCAACAAATTCCACCGGGAAGGGCCTGAAACAGCCTCGTCCGGACGACAGTTCCCGTCAGACCGGCTAGACAGGAAGACTACTCTACCATCTATACAAATCTGGAAATAAAGATGTTAGCATCAACTAAAAATTTCTCCGAGTTACATCACCTATAAGGTTAACGCATGCTACATTATCATATTATGGGGAGAGTGAGAGACAAAAGAGAAACCAAGTAGAAGATCAAGGAGTGATAGCCGATTGATTCTATTCAAATTTGATTTCGTACTTTCATTGGCTTATCTATTTGAGGAAGTGCTTCTCTAGGATTTCGCTTTCCTAGATTTGGGCATTTCTACACATGTAATTTCTATTATAATAGGGAGCTTTATTGTGCACATTAAATATCCAAGAAACTGTTACGAAGAAATAAGGAGAAGGAAAAGTCCTCAAAGTTCTACTACTACCCCTCCTGTTTATCCTTATAATTCATTCTCGTGAAGCAAAGAATCCCGTCTTATAACAAAAATATGAAGAAGAAAAACGTGCCGATAAAGTTCAAGAGTGCATATGGTAACAATGGTAAACACGCTGTAAAATGAGGACTTAATAAAATGTCTTTTAGTGACAAATAACTATGGTAAGCATACTGTAAAATGAGGACTTAGTAATGTAGTAGGGTCAGTTTGGATGAAAACATTTTATATGGCTTTGGAGGGGAAGATTGTGGATTGATTAACCTATATCTTGACAAATAGAATGTTTCTAAGCACACATAAAGGGTGATTGAAATGTTACATAACACCTATGATGTTATTCCTTCAATTTATAAAAATATATATATATATATATATCAGGATATAAAAGAACGCAGTATAGAGCAGGGTTTTGGACAACAAGCGAAAGCAGTGAGCTCACCAAGCTACAAGCAGCGCTAGGAAGAGAAATACCACAAATTCAGCAGAAAGCAGTGAAATCACCAAGCTACAGGCAGCGCTAGGTAGAGCAATGCCATAAACTGAGCAGATAAGGAAACTTCTGGACATAATCAGACCATGGCTTCAGTCGCCTCTGTTAAATCATACCCTTTGCCAAGCATTTCTGCAATCCACCTTCTAGCTTCAGAAGTTCGACCACATTTTGACAACCCATGCACTATTATATCATAACTCCACCTGTTTGGCTCATACCCCTTTTTCCTCAAAGTATTGAAGTAACAAGATGCTGAATCGACCCCATACATGCTTAATCTTCTCAATAACATGTTGTACGTGTACACATCAAGAGGAAAGCATTGTCTAATTAATTCTTCAATTTGGTTGATATCCAAGCTTGAAGTGCTGCAACCCGAAAATACCTCTAACAGCTGACCTAATTTCAAGCTCATAAGTGTCGCATTTTGATCATTCCTTGAATTCAACCAAACATCATAAAGCTTTTGAGTCCGTAAACAATGTAACAAAAGCACATTGCCAATAAACGAGGAGACCTTCCGACCACATTCAATTAAGTCATCAACGACAGTTAGAGCCAAATAATATTCCCTGTGTGAACAAAGCAAACTCATGAGTTCCTCATAAGATTCCATAGTTGGCTTCCTCCCTTCACCCCTCATCTTCCAGAATACATCCCATGCATGTTGTGGCTTGTCCATCTTACAGAGGCCAACAATCATGACATGCCAGACCTTCCGAGATGATATCCCTCGCCCCTTTGTTAAATCATAAAAGAAGTTTAAAGCTTCTGAAATCCTCCCGTTTTTCAAATAACTATGCAAGAGGAGTATGTGAGAGTTCAAAGTTGGATAAGTACCAGTTCTACTCATCATTTCATATACCTCTCTTGCAAGCTCATGTTTCCCAGCATGTCCTGCCCCATCAATGAAGAAATTGTAATTGGCAACACTGGGTTCAAATCGGGACAGCTGCATTTCCATAAAACTGAAAAAGTGCTGTTCTGGATTGTTAAGTTGACATAAACAGACAATAATGCCTCTGAATAATTGCCGTGTAGGTCTATGGCCGTTTTCTTGCATTTCTATTAGTAATCTTGCCGCAATATCTGCCCTACTTGTTTTCACAAATCCACTTATCAAGTCAAAGTAAGTATTCCTGCTTGTAACCCTATTACACCGGCTGAGTTGTTCGTGTAGCAAAAAACCATCTTGAACTCTGTCTGATTTACAAAGAGCTGATATGAATCGGTTATACATTGAATCACTGGGGATGTGGTTGTGGTCAAGGGAAGAAAGAATCAACTCATTCACCCTGTCAAGCTTCCCCTCTTTGCAAAGTGAATTTGCAATGATTGACAATGTTCTTCTTCCCGGAAAGTAGCCATGTTCAATTCCATTCCTCAGCACACGCGAGGCATCATCATTACTTGAATCACTCATTAGCGTGTTTATGAGATAGTTATAAGCCATACTGTTGACAGAGAGCTGAAAGTCTGCTCTTGAATCATACAGCTCAAGAGCCACATCAACCATTCCCACTTTGCACAAGAAGCATAAAGTGATGTTCATGGTGACTGTGTCTGGAGATATACCTTGCTCTTTCATCTCCATTAACCAATCATAAACCTCTTCAAGTCTGTTCTCCCTTAAAAGCTTACATAATAGAGTGTTGTATCTGAAATAAAGAGGAACAGGCCCGTCTACCATATTTCTTTTTTGCAAAATCTCTAAAGCCCCGTTCAGCTTACCGGCCTTAACCAGGTTGTTAATCCACGCACTATGGGCATGATCCATAGAGACCAAACCAGACTTGCGAAACTCTTCCACTAGCAAGCCAGCCCTATCAAAATGTCCTCCCTTGGAAAGAGCATCCACTACCGTCGCCACTACAATATCACTCAACCCAGCACCTCCATCTTCTAACAGACCCCGAATATAAGCTTCAGCCTTATCCAGCTCACATCTCTTGCAAAGGCTCTTAACAAATATTGAATGTGTGATAGCGTTCTGGAATCCATGGATCTTAATCTCCTTGAAAATCGTCTCCAGAGCATCATAGAACCCATCCTCCACTAACGCGTTGAGAAGGACGTGATAAGCAAAGTAGTCTAAATCTGTGCCATTAAACCGCATTTTCCCGAACAGTTGGAGTGCAAAGTCGGGTTTCCCAGCAATGGAGTACCCAATCACCAGAGTGTTGTGGAACCTTAACCTGTTGATGTATCTATGCTTGGCGTGCTTCTCCAAGAACTCAAGCATCAAGGTGTTGAGCTTTGCTTTCGAGAGAATCTTAAAAATGGCGGAGAATGTGGACTGGGTATGGTAGAAACCGGGTTGGCGACCCGCCCAATCAAAGAACTTCAAGCAGGATAGCACATCTTTACCCTTCTCATGGTACAAAATATCGAGAACTAATGTTTCGGAAAGACGGAGATTGAAGCGGGACAGAGCTGAATCTGCTGATGCGTCGTCATTGGTTCGTATGATTTCGAAGATTCGGTCGAAATTCGTTCTCTCCCTGCTCAGGAACCATTCTTTAAACGATAACACCACGTCCTTGGGATGAAATTCGCAGCTATTGTTGGAAAGCGAAGCTGAGGAATGAAGGCAATCCTGTGAATAGAGAGTGTACGTGTGCGGAAGCAGGCTGATCACCGTTGACGGGTTGAAGAGAGACCTGTTCGACCGAAGGAGATGAAGATGTATTTTCATGGTCAATCCTTTAACACTGGTTTACAGCCCTCCCTTAAGTAAGAGTTTTTGGACGCGATGGAAGAAAAATACAGACATCCTCGGTGTGTATCGCTTCTGGAAAAATAGGGGAACTTGGCAACACTGGTAGAACGAAATTGATGATTTTTTTTGTATATTTCAGTAAAGTTAATTGCACATTTAGGACTGCAAAAGAAACACAGCTTTTAGGACCAATTTCAGTACAGTTGGACAAAGTTACCCCTCTTTTAATTTTTTAAATTTTAAAATTGTAAAATAAAAAATTATTGAAACCCTAGCAGAGCACTGTCGTCACCAGAGCCAAACCGCTTGCCGCCACCCCTCGTTGACGCAATCTGCCGCCACCTCTCGCCTACGCAATCTGCCGCCGCCCTCTCCGGCGACTACGCCCCCTGTTGTCGCCCTCGCCATTTACCATCTGTCACTGCATCCTTGCCGTCGCACCGTCGCCATCCATCGTCATCCCTTGTCGCTTCCCACACCAGTGTTGCCATCTATGCCATCAATATCTGACCGGCGTCACCATCCACCCAAGCCACCATCCTTTGAGCATCGCCACAACAGTGACAACTCAGGCGGAATAATCTGTCATTAACTTGACAGATTTAGCATTGGGGATTAGATTCACTTCAACGATGAACAACTGTTTCAGATCTGCCAAAAAAGTTGACAGATTCAACATGGCATAGTAACACAAAACTGCCATAAATTTGGCAAAATAAACATGAGGTAAATAACCAAATATTCAAACAACTAATTTTTTTAATGGAACAAGCATTTTAACACAACCACAAATTAGAACAACGAAGCTATTGACATAAAAACAAAAAACCAATTTATAAAAAAGCATTTCTTCCATAATATGATTGTAAATGTACACATTATTGCCATAAACTTGGCCAAATCTGAAGCAATCATCCAAAAATTTATGAAATCGATTTTTTTTTTAACTGTGAAATTAAAAACCAGAAAATCGAAATAGAAGTCTGAAAAACTGGAAAAATCAATTCAAAATTCAGAAAAATGGAGGAAAATCGAGAAGAAGAAGAGGAGGAAGAAGAGGAGGAGGAGGAAGAAGAGGAGGAGGAGGAAGAAGGAGGAGGAGGAGGAGGAGGAGGAGGAGGAGGAGGAGGAGGAGAAGAAGAAGAAGAAGAAGAAGAAGAAGAAGAAGAAGAAGAAGAAGAAGAAGAAGAACCTTAGTGGCAGCGACGTACAGAGAATCGACTGCAGCGGCGGCGTGAGAGAAAAATCGATCGATCTTGTGTGCAGGGCGAAATCGGCGACGGCGGAGATGGCTAGTGTAACACCCCTAAATTTCCCGCCCAAAATATTGATATATTTAAAAGAAATATTTTATTCATTCATCAAAGAATTGAAGAAATACAGCGGAAGTCTAAAAGGGAAACGGGTGTTACCGCCACATTCGATCATCTCTTAACCGAATGCACAGGCAACTCAAAGTAAAACAACAAAAACTAATGTAATAATAAGTAAATGTTTGTTTCATGACTAGATTTAACTAAGGCATCTTCTAACTCGCACTCAAGCTCGAGCAATCCATCAATCCACATAGGTATCCAACTCATCACCTGATAAAATTTAAGGGAGAAGAGAGAGACAAGAAAAATAACAAAAATTAGCTTTAGAGCTAAGTAAGTACTACCCAACCCCGTAAAATAATCAGGTTTGGCGAAAATAATTTTTCATATAATACTATATAAAAATACTCACACCACCGAAATTCTTTTCTAATCAAAAACATCATTTATCAACTTTATAATCTCAAATACCCGTATAATTAAAAATAATATTTATAAGCTCCCAACAATTAATTAATATCTCAAAAGAAGTATCACTTTTCACAAATAACTTTTGTAGCTAAAAATATCACCATTCCGAAATCAATGTCACTTTCAGATTCTTTTAAGATGGGCGAAACTCAAGATTCCTCGAGCCCAATGAATCGTTGTTGCGTACGACTCATCCCTGAATTCCGGCTCCCACCGACCACCAATTGGAAACTGAACTTCACCCTTAAGTGTGCACACCCCCTAAAAGGGATTCCAAGCCCTCCGAGTAGTAAGAAGTCCAAGTAGTTCGGACAACGTCCCCCTACCTCACAATGGGTTAGAAACCCGGGTAATGAGAAACTACTACCGCGGCCACCAAAGAACTTTTAAAGTTCTCAAAAGAAATACCGGGAATCTCCCGCCACCAATATTTACCGGGATTTCTCCCGCCACCAATAATCAACCTAAACTAAACCCGCGGTATATAGCTCTAACCACCCTCCACATTTATCCGGATGTGGAAAAACCGACACCACAGATTTCTCCCGGGTGCTCACCTCTTATAAAATCCTTAATTTTATCTTGAATCAAGATATGCTTCCAAAAATATTTCTCAATCTCTCTAAATAGTCTCAAAGGTATTTAAAAATATTTAATACCCCAAAAAGTACTTTTAATTTGTATTCCTCAAAATCACATACACACAATTTAAAATTCATAAATACTCCAAAATTCTTTTACATAAAAATTCACTCCAAGTCATACTAGGGATTAAATCCAAAAATATATCTCCAATATTTCACAAATTCTTAGTCGTCCAAAATAGTACACATTTAAAATTTACACTTAATCACATAATGCATAATAAGCATATAATACGAGGAAACAATTTTGGATTGGCAGAGAAACTTACCTTAAGTCCTGATGCTCCTAGTTATCCTCATCTAATCCGGTCTCTAGATAATCACCTTTTTAATTAAATATGATAAATTAGTCACTTGTTCTATTTGTAATTACTTTACCCGATTTTCTCCTTTTATTTTATTATTCGAATTTATTAACTTAATTTATTAATTATCCGAATTTATTTGATTACTCACTTTCTATTAATAAAATTACCTTAATAATTTTATCCATTAATTTTCAATATTTGAAATAAAATATCTGAATATAATTGACTACAACATCCAATTTTTATTCAATAATCCCTATTAGTATTAATATTTCCTTATTTAATTACTTAACTAGTTTTATATGGCCTAATTTAAATAAATAGACTAAGAATCGACTTTATAAATTAAAAACCGTCTATAACTATATTTTGGGTCTATATTTGACCTAGGTTGTCCAGATATCTATTTTATAATTATTTTCCATAATTATTCCTTTAATTTCATATATCTATTAACCGGTTTAATTACAATTAAATATACTAAACCTTAATATTTATTAATTATAAATGGTCCATAAGGTCCTAGTTAGTCATATATTTATCCTAGTTTACTCCAATATTTATTTCATAATTATTTTCGTCATTTAGTTAATTATTTACTAAATGTGTATAAATTGGCCTAATTACCATTAAATCAATTAAAAATATCTAAAAATATTATTTTCCAATTCTGGTTGGTCCGAATATGTATATTTATACTAGGTGTTTAATTTATATTTTTCCAGATTTTATTTATTTCATTTACTATTTTATTTTTAATTTTTATTGCAACTGGGCCGAACTGGCCCAAATTAAATTTTCTGGCTCAATCCTGAAAAAGGCCCAAAAGACAGACCAGCTGGGTCTTCTTCTTCTTCCCCAGGTCGCCGGAGAACGGGAAAGAAAAACGCAGGTAGAGCTTACCTCGTCGGACGGGCGTAACGGCGGCGGTGCAAACGGCTCCTTCTGGGTCGGCGGTGATCGGTGATGGACTGGCGGCGGCAGCGGCAACCCCCTCCTCCTCGTTTTCCGTCGAAAAGTTTTTCCCCGGCGAAACTCCGGCGAGCTCTTTCTCCCTCGTTTCACGACCGTTTTCGACGATTCTTTTTCCGTTGGATTCGTATCACGAAGGGGAAGGTTTGAGGGGTGTTTTCAGGGTTTGTTTCTGGCTAAAACGGTGGGTCGAAAAAAATATATATAATATACGTATATATGTATGTATATTTCGTAGTTTTTTGGGATGAAGAAAACGTAGGTTCTGGCCTATTATTTATAGGGAAAGATGAGGGTTTTAGGCTGAGATGTTAGAGTTGGAGTTGGAGTTCATTTGGCTTCTTCCGTAGTTGTCTCCGGTTGGTGATTTACCTCGCTTAGGAGTACAGTTAATATATATATACTTAGTTTACGTATGAAGCTTTATAAATATAGTAGAAGTATAATAGGACTATAGGAGTATAGTATATAGTAGTACGTAGGTAGGTAGGAGTATTATAGTTATATTTAGCTATATACTAAGTTATACGTAGGTTTAGTATTATTACTACGTATGTTATACTATTATTATTACTTACGTGTATATATATATATATATATATATATATATATATATATATATATATATATATATATATATATATATATATATATATATATATATATATATATATATATATGTATTATGAGTATTTTAATTATTTAGTTTATACTTTGTATATTATACAACCTAAAATAGTTATATAAAAATTAATTTTATACTAAAACATAACTTCTATTATCGGGCCATTTTTATCTGATTAAAAAAAATCGTGAACTTGGAAATTTTATCTGATTAGAATGTTACGACTGTTGAATTTTTGTCTGACTCAATTAATTACAAAAATGTTATTTTTGTAATATTTTATCTGACTAAAAATTATTTTTATTTTTAAATTTTTGAAGTGTCACAGCTAGGGTGAACTCGGCCGATGATGCGCCGTGACAGAAGAGATACAGATGTGTGCGCAAGAGAGAATGGGTCTGCGGTTGTGCGCAGAGAATGGGAGAGGAGAGATGAGCGTAAAAGGGATAAGGGGAGTAATAATGGAATAACAAATACGGATGTTTTCTTCTTTTAGTCCTATATGGGGCAATTACTTTTGAAAATTTGGGATATTAAAAGAGAGAATTGTCAAAATAGGACTAAAACAAAGTAAACTTGCAAAAATAGGACTACTATATTTTATTAGTCAAAAATTGGACTAAAAAGAGCTGATCTGACAAAACTACCCTCAATTAAAAAACATGTCACGCTACTGGCGATTTACACCGGTGACGCACAACATTACTCCTTCTAATGGCCCTGCCGCCATCCAGCAATAGAATCATCGCCACGCACCATCCAAGCCGAGCACAACCT